GTAGTACGGCCAGGAGCCCCCAGTAGCGTTCTTGCTCCTAGTAGCGATGCCCTTTGCTCCTAGTAGCTTCTTGCTCCCGAAACGAACGCCGTCCCCAGATCCTCCGAGACGTTCGAAGCGGTTTCCGAAGCGGTCGAGACCCGTTGATCCGTCCAGCGACCCGCTGATCCGTCGAGGTGGACGATCATCGTGCGTCCCATGGCTTCGCACGTGTGGACAAACCAATCTCTACCAGGAAACAGTGGAAACCAATGGCGGATGTGAGGTGAGTGAGTTCGATCCCTTGTCTGGTCGAGTGGGGTCAACGATTGACATCTGCAAGAAGGGAGCAACCGTGGCATCGTTCCAATCCCAAAAAAAAAAGGACCAGCTGCTCACGCCACAAAACAGGGGTCGCTTTTTTGGACAAGGAAAAAGACCCTTCACTGGATGACAAGACCGAATCAGCAGCGTTGGGTCTCTGCCATGGTTTGGAAAATGCAAAAATATAAAAGTACACGCATTTCACAAGTTTGGGCCATCGATATACCCTCCAGCTGAAAACCTCCTTGAGCAGGGATTTTGTATGATCAACTCCCATAAAATGCGGTGAAACTGCCCGGTCACCCAGCAGAAAAAGGGCGACCGAGCCCAACCATTGGACTGACATGTCTTCCCCCCCTTCCTCCGGCGTCCTGTGCCAAGCTCTCTGACATGTCTTCGTCCGCCTCTGCCTGAGATGGCCCACTTTCAACGGCAAAACAAGCCAGGCGTGTGGCAACTCTACCCCCAACCGCCAGCGTTTTCGGGACTGTATGTAGGTGGACTCCACTTGTGTCCACTCGGCATGACGATGGAAGCGAAGTGGAACCACCTCATTCACCCGGACCTGGCCATCGGTGGCAATGTCACTTCGTCTGGTCGGGTCAGTGCTGTGCAGTCATGTACAGCGGATGATGGTGCAAGTGATGAAGAATGGTAACAACAAGAATTCAACAATAACCAATGATGCTAATAACAATGTTATATAAAACAACATAATAATGACACTAGTAATAACAATAGCAACAATATACTAGTACACAATAACAAGCTTCTTAGTGACCTCAAGCCCTGGGAGAAAAAGGTCACTTTGAAGAACCAGGCAATGATGATCCTGATGACTTTTGATGTCTCATGCCTCTTCAGAAGCGGTGTGATCATTTGGCCCACCCCCAAACTCAGCGAGTTCCGGTCCCTCCTCCACCACTGGAAGGTGGACTGGACCCCCCCCTGGCTCCCAGAACACAGTTCGTTCCCGCCTGCACGGCCTGATCTTTCAGGTCGCCCTGCTGCTTCCGCAACTCATGCTCCACCATCAGCCTCACCGGCTTCTGCACTGCGGGGTCGCTGGTGGCGTGGGGTCGCTGCAGCACCGCACCGGGGCGTCACCGGGGCGGTTTCGGCCGCGCCGCCCAGCGCAAAAGCCGAAGGTGCTGGTCCAGGGGGGTGAAAGGTGGCCCCCCTTGGACCGACGGTCGGGTCCAGTTTAGACCTAGCAAGTCGCAACTTCCGCACTCACCGGGGACCGGAAGCAACAGGGAGGCGAACCACGGCGTAGACCTATGGAACCTATTGGAACCTCGTGGATCTTCAGGGTATGACCGTTTTTGTCTAGGCCAAGGGCCAGTCGTTCGGACGGGCGAAACGTTGCCGGACCGGAACCGCCCGTCGCCCGTGCCTCTGCTGGAACCAGCGGTCGTGGAAGGCATCCTGGTGCTTAGCGGCAGTGGAGGTTGGTTCGAGTGTTGATTCAAGAAATCAGTACATCTTGACACATGAAGGACAACTTTAGAACAGGTCGCTCAAGCCCAACGCAGCTTTTCTACGACTGCAGCAAGCAGTGCCCAAAAAAGAAAAAAAGATAAAACATGTCGGAAAGGTTCATGTTTGCTCATGTTCTTCTTGACGTCTTCAAACTCAGGCCAAAAAAGTCGTCCACACTCGCCAGCTCATCGCACGCACACCGAACCCCCTTCAAATCCCCAGCTCCTCACCGACCCCTCCCCCTCAGGCGCGACCCCATCGGTGACTAGTAGAACGGTCTCGGTTTCCTCGGGTGAAACCGCCGGGTGTGGGGGTTTTTGAGTGGTCCGTCTCCTTTGGGTCCATCCATCCTCCACACCCATCTGATTCTCAGGTCCTGTAGCTGTTTCAGCTCCAAGTCCTTGGGAGCTCCGGCGGCGGAAGCGGTCCTAGGACCCCTTTTGTTTGGGGAGGAGGGGCCGGTCGACCGGCGCGGGTCGACTGGCGCGGCGTCGCGGACAACTATAAAGGGTTCTTTGGGAACATGCCGGAACACAATGGATGGAAGGACACCCAGGTGCTTCAAGCACACGCACCACATATCTGGAAGCAGCACATGGGCAAATTGCAGAGAAAACAATTGTTGACACATGCGAAAACATGCGGAGAAAAAAGGTTAAATAAAAAAAAAACAGGACATCTTCTTTGGTGGACAATGGATCAGCAGACAAAAGCTAGGGATGAAAACCATGGAACAAATACAATGGCAACTGCAGAGCTCCCTGGGCCCATGGCCCATGGGTTTTGATTATGACCTTCCTTGGCACCAAACCATGACCTTCTACGTCCTCCATCCGCCGTTTGTTCGACGACCGCGGGCGAAATTCGCCGCCCACCTTGGTGTGTTCCACCATCATGAGGCCCATTTGGAAATCCTGCCCAGCCAGCGAAGCCCATCGAAGTCCCAGATTTCGTGGCACTGAAGACTTCACCAGAGACGCCCAGTTCGGCTTATGTATAACTTAGCACACCCCTGCTTCCGAAGGACTCTAGTCTGCCCTGAAACCAGTGCCACCACTGCGCTGATAAACCGAAGACTTCCCCATCGGCCGTGGCCCTCAAGGTCCCCACGCCCTGGCAGCCTCCAGGTCCAGGCCGCGTGCGAAGGTCTCCTCGTTGAACATCTCTTGGATGATGGGTTCCACATCCTAACAGCCACGACGCGTAACGAAGCCAACGCACGGCTTACAGACCCAAAGCGCGGAGAACATGGTGCCTGTGAAACGCTTCAAAAGCTGGGGCAACTCACGAACCGAAGCAGCACGGAACTTCGAAGAGACCCCCTGTCTGCCCCTCTCTCAACCGCATCGCCCAATTTTCAAGGACGTTCGTGCAAAAGTTTGGACTGTTGCGTGCTCGCTGGGCGGACTGGCTGGGGATGGTGAAAGAAGCACCAACAGAGGCTGAAGGACCCTAGTTCGGCTATCCCAGTTGGGTTCCCCAGGTGACGGGTCCTATTTACGGGCACCGGCCACCTCTCTGCATGTTCAAACCCTGGCATGACCTGGCCAAGCTTCAAGACCTCCCATCACATGGCTTCTCTTCCCGCGGCCTGGCGGGGGGGGCATGGACAGGATGCCACCAGGTGGTCCCTGGTCTGGAGGTCCTGTCTGTGTAGTGTCTGGAGGTCCAGTCGAGATGGAAAAGTCCTCGATTCTCCACTCGTCCAAGGCGGACACCGAGCCACTATCTGTTTTTGTGGGTGACCCACGACGGATGATCCAGGCATATTGAAACAGCTTTACAAAATGGAAGGCGGTGTGATGGTTTTTTGGGGGGCTCGATCTTATTTGAACCTACCTCGGAAGGGAGATCGGTTGGTTCCCTAAAAAGGATCTGTTTGAAACCATCAAGTCCGTGCTCAAGCGTTTGAGCGACCATCTGGACATCTTAATCTATGAGTCTATATGTCATAAGGACATTGCTTTCGAACTGAATGCGTTTTACATGTGGACGGACGCGTTCCGGAACTTGCGTCAACGCAAGTTTCTCTCGCACAACTTTCTTTTGACGCGATGCTTATTGGTACGATGCTTATTGGTCATGTCTCTTCTTCGACTTGAAGCCTGATGTCCAAGAATTGCGGGGCGCCTCTGGTCTCTCAGGCAGCTTGAGGTCACTCGACAGCATCAATAGATCTGCGACGTGATTTCCCCATGCTTTGTGGAGGTGGTTTGAAGAATCTCTCAGGCAAACAGACCGTCGAATTTCATGCTTGAAGGCGAAGTTCGTAGGAGCCGTCCACCCTTCTTCAACTGCAACCGGTGCCCGAAACCCAGAGCAGTGCGTCTGCACAGGCGCGATGCTTCAAAGGTGTTGTGAAGAGCATCGCCTATATGGGGAACAGCTTCGAAGGTGTTTCTTTTGGCAGATGTGCGGCAACAGTTCCATGCCACAGCCGTGTGGCGGCAGCCGTTTTTGCCGTCCATGCCACAGGAATAGTGCCCTGGCAGTTACGACTGTGCTGCAAGCTTGTGGCCTGCGCTGAACAGAAAAGCGCAGGATCTGCACCCCAAATGCAAGAGAAGCACGGCCAATATCCTCGTAACTTACAGCTAGGACACCTTCACCAGTTCTATCTACCATAAATCATAGTTCAAGTATGTTCAAGTGAATCCCCGTTGAACCAGCACCACGGAAGCGGTGGTTATTGGATGGAAAATACTAGTCAGGGGTGTCCATACAATACACCACCCTTTCCCTGATGCTGGAAAATGCCTGGCACATCGTTTCTATCTTGAAGTCCTCTGGTTTCTCCCCACCATATCTCCATGGTCGACCAAAAACAAAACCATCTGTCCCACCTTCCAACAGGTCGAACTGGAGGCTGAACTGCAGACCGCCGACAGCCATAAATCGAAATCAATCGTCACTAGTCGCCGGTGGGCTGTGACCGACATCCGGCCACCTCCGAACGTCCGGCCTCTTCGACTTCCACCGCTGGAGCGTTCCTGAGTGGGCGCCACGGAGTCGTGAGTCCAGCAAAAAAGGACCAAAATCCAATGGAAATCACAGACATCACATGACTTGGTTTTCCAAAGAAAAAACAGGTGATGTCGAAAGACATAGAATCTATAGAAAGGTCTCCCCATGGAGACCCACATTCTGACCCACCGATGTTGAAGTGCACTAGCCACCCAGAAGATGGGGCAACAGAAGTCCAAACCCCTAACAAAGGTTTGCATGCTGTAAAGAGGAGGGAACCCCAGAACCAATCACTCGCTTGTCTTTACATTGCTTACAATGGGCTTCTGCAGGCATTGTTCTATGAAAGCATCGTTTAAAATTCCATGTGTCCATGTAAACTTTAAAATTCCATGTGTCCATGTAAACAAGCATCGGATCAGCACAAAATCCTTAAAATATCTCAAAATGATTCTTGGGGCGACTTCGTCATGAGAAATGAATTCCCCGCAGGGCGATTAAAAACTCACCGACCTGTCTAAGAATCTTCCCCCTGCTCAGTGTCAGCTCAAAAACCCGGAGTAATGGATATTGAATCGGAGTCGGATTAAGACAAGCCAAAGCTGGACTGCGAAGTTTGAAGAACGATTGGCAGGAGCCCGTGTCCAAACTTCACTCGAGCTTGCAACTCCCCCTGGCTTTCCAAGGTTTGAAGTGACCCACAAAGAATGCCATGTCTGGCGGGGTGTCTATGTCTAGTCCTCCACAGCCCCGGTCACGGTCCACGCAGCTCCGTCCGGATCCGAGGTGCTAAGCTGGGAGTGGACTCGACCTGATTCCTCCCATGGGCGGCGACGGCCACGGTCGGAGACGGCGGCGTCGGCGACGGCCGCAAGCTGAGTCCGAAGCAGGGTCGACTGGAGGTGATGTGGAGCACCAACCATTCAGGATGACTGCTGATGAGCACTGGACCATTCAGGGTGCCTGAAAGGTGTATAGCACTTTTGCAGAGCCAAGACAGGTGCCTTGGATGGACCGGGTTTCCCCGCCCAAAACAGGCCAAACTCCCTGTCTCCGAGCCTCGTCGCAGACCGGGCAACGCCACCCCACCCCAACCGACCGAGACGGTCGCACGGTCGCACCGCCTGCGGAGCGTCGAGCGAAGCCCGCGGCCTCGGAGCTGCGGGTCGGCTGCTGCGGTGGGGCTGGGCTGGGCACCAACCGTCGTCGCGTTGCTCCGGAAAAATAGATCCAAACGATGGGAATGACCTGGAACCTATCGTAGCAATTTTAGCTCAAGTCCTACCCGCAACCTCGAAAGGGGGAGGTCTCTTGGCGAATCGCGTTTCAGAGGCGACGAAGGTCGGGGCACGGGTACCAAAGGCAAAGAAGCTCTGTAAGACCCATGCAAAGGTGACCCATGTAGAGCTCATCTGCTGAACTGACCACTCCAAGTGTGTGGCGGAATGCTGAAGGAATGGTAGGTGAATCCATGGTTTTAGCTCACAGTTCATGCTTATAATTAGTACGTTTGTTGCTTGCAAGGTGGACAAGTGGAGCTCTCTGCGAGCTGGCTCCCCTGAGACATGCGAATGGGGCTCAGATCTGCACTGCTTCTGAGAGCTCTCACCCCCTTGCCCCGTCCCACATCACAGGCCACGGCACCCAAGTAGTGCAGAAGTGCCCACACATAGTCCAGCGCGGCCGCCCTGCCGCAGCCCGAACATCGGCGGGCTTCGTTGGGGACCTGTGGGGGACACGTGAACCGGAGTTGGGGCCGGGGGGCGGGTGGACGAGCAGCATGGAGTTCAGCCCCCAATGCTTCGGTGGGTTCCGCTCTCGCCCGGACCGCTCCGCTCTTCGTTTGGGCCACGAGGCGGGGCGACGAGGATCGGGTGGTGTCTCCGGGTGTCTCCGGATGTCCCGGGCCTCTCCGTGGGAATGGTCGAAAGGCGGTTCTGCTCCGCCGACTTGGTCTTCTTCAGCTCCGCCTCTCGGTCTTGCTGCTCCGAGCCGACGTCGAAGTGCGGAGAACAAGCTGGAGATGGGGTATGTGGAAGATAGAAGAACCGGGTGCACCTTTTCCATCACCCATTCTCAAACACCCCAGAGCTTTTGTATGGTCTTGCCTCTTGCACACACACCCTGGCTCAGGCAGGCATCTTCCCAAATACCTCGACCGGTCTCTCCAGCCTGTCGGATGAACTCGGCTCTGCTGTAGAAGAAGAGAACCTCAAGGAGCTGAAAAAAAAAAGGCTTCATGAGCTTCAGGTCCAGCCTACTTTGGCCTACGTGATGAATCGATAAAGATGCGAAAAAAGGACCTCGCGCACGGGATCAGGCTGATCAGGCTAGACCTCCTGGGTCTTCATCCTCCCAACTTCCTTCCTTCGGTCCGATCCAACCACCGACAGACTCCGTCCGTCAGTCTACACCTGCAGCTCCGTCAGTCGTCCGACTTCGTTCGCGCCACTTGGGGCCTCCCGCCTTCCCAGGATCGTTGAAGAAGGACTCGCAAATGGTTTGCGCCTGGTACCGCGACCGCAGCCGCTCGGAGAGTGGCTTGTAGGCCGAGACCTCCTCGGAACGCTGGCCTCAGGGATCTCAGCGGCTTCGGCGTGTGATCTGGAGGCTGACACCCTCCCCACTTGAAGGAATCCCAGTCCTAGTACCAGGGCACGTCGCCTCCTGCAAACCTCCACGTCTCCCAGTCTCGTCTCCCAGTCAAGGCCAAGGCGATCTCAACCCCTCGACTCGATCCACGACCGCCTCAGCGAACCGCGCGTGGTGCGCCCTGGGCTTCCCTGGCTTCCGGACGAGCGCGTGGTGCGCCGGGCGAAGGTGGAGGCCCGCGCGGAGGCGTCGCCTGGGGAGGCCCCCGCCCATCGGATGAGAAATCCTTTGCGGCCCAAGGATTCGCCCCAAAGTGTCTGAAATGGATCGATCCACCTCTGTGAATCTTTGGATTCTTCCTCTGGAGTGGTGCGTGTCCTGCCTGCAAGACTGAAAAATACCCTGCAACTTTTATGGATGTCTGCTTGGACCATAGAGATCCGCCTCGACAATGGAGATATCGCTCTTGGATGTCTCATGTTTCACCAGTTGGCGAGGCGTTTACTTCCCAGCTGAAACTTGGAGGCTTCACTGCAGAATCGTTGAATGATCAGCAGAAACAAGGGACCCGTGTGGACAACTTGTAGAAACAGTGCGCATGTAGGTGTGTAAATATATTTGTGGAATAGATCATCCCAATAACTATATCCGATCCCATTATCAGTTCCCTGACCTATCTGGTTGCTGATCATTGCCATCCATACCAAGGCGCCCTGGTCCTCGTCCAGATCTAGGCTGTTCCACAGCAAAGTGAGGGCGTCCAGCCCGAGGAAGGACCTTGACACCACGGCTGCACCGCACCACAGGTCTCGCCGAGCGCGATCCCGGCACATCTGAGTTCCCAGGAGGCTCCCTAGATATGATATGGAAACGACCATGTCTAAGACAGGTCTCATGAGACTACACTCCTTGATGTGGATGGCATGGCCCCGAAAAGGAAGACGTGTCTTTTTCCGAACACCAAAAGGGTGGTTTTCCACTTCCATGATTATGTCAGGGAGTGTAACTGTGCTGTTTGGCATTGGCTGAAGGTGGTCATAGAACATCCCACCAAAAAGAATTGCACAACATCCTCCTGATGCTCGTGGCCCATCACTTCTCACAACACTTGTTGCAGGAGCATCATCGGTAACTTTGGACAGTACTTTGTACCTGGCCAAACCAAAACCGCTCTGTTTCAACTCAAAGTCTTGAGACCATCATCCAACAAGCCACCTCCCCATCATCCAAGCTGGAGCAAACAGACTGTCAACCAACTAGCAACAGTCCACTTGCCTCTAAATACGTTTCATGGAACTTTCATAAGTGAAGCTTACAACATCCTTTGCAATACGATTGCAAGCATGCGATTGCTTTGCAAAAGCCTCTTGCATGGACAATCGTTCAAACTCGAATGATTCCAACACTTTTAGTATGTTACAAAGACAAAAAAGAAAAAAGAAGACCCACATGTAGATCCAAGAGAGGTTGAGAGACCTTATGGGACCCTACAGTTGTACATCTGGGATAGGCTATCGGCTATAGATCCACTTCCCTCCCTCACACTGCCCAGTGGCTCCTCTCGGGTGATCAATCCCACTTGCTGTGTGAGCCGAGCGCGTCTCAGCTCTTGTCGCCGCGCGAAGCAGAAGGCGGCGCGGATCAGGAACTCCAGCTCCACCACGCTAAAGGTGGCCGCACCTGCCACGCCGCGCGGCGGATGGGCACCCAGCATGCGACGCACGTGCCGTGTTTGCGTGCCCTTTGGTGTGGGAGGGCTTCGCAAAAGTTTTGTGTTCTTTGTGTGGAAGCCTGGAAACGAGCGGATGGGTCGTCATGCGTGCCCTGTTTGTTGGAAGCAGAAAACCTCTTTGGCGCCACAAAGGCGCCACAAAGAAGGCTTTCCTCCCACCAATCAGGTCCTCCAAGAAGCGGGGAACACCCCCCAAGAAGCGGCATGTCCAGCTTCCCACTGCAAATGGAACCACCCCAGGACATTCCTTGTCCACCAAAAAAAACCGGACTGCCTCGGATCAAGCAAAGGCGTTCGGCAGCGGTCTGCAGGTATTTCCTCATGAGCACTGGACTGATCAGCGGGAAAAAAGAACGCCGCTGTGGATTTGGAGATCCCCACAGAAACTCCCCCCGATTGGTACGCGGTTGGTTCGAAGGTGCCAAAACCCGCTCACCGATTCACTGGCGTTCGGCTCTCTCTGCGTGCTGAGAGGGCCTCACACGACCTGACCTCCTCCCCTTCCGTGCCACGCATCACCCGAAGCTTTTGGGGTGGGGAATGGACAGTTCTCAAAGATACCCAGCAGCGAAAGCCAAAACTCCCGAAACCCGTCTCTCTGAGGTTCCAAATTCCTCTGGTGTATGGCTGCACACTGCCCACCTGTTGTTCGATGCTGGAGTCTAGGCCCTAAGCTCACTGGCCGATGAAAAAGAGGTGCTTCCCCAAATCGAAGGTCCTTTCGTCCGCACCCTAGGCACGGGACCTGAGATCACAACGGGACCCATGATCCAGGTGTTTCGGAGGACCAACAGGCTGCTCATGTCCACCAACCTCAGTTAAGGATATTTGTATATATATCATCTATACCAGGACCCACAAGGGGTGGTTAATGGACATCCCTTAACATCTAAGGGGCTATGAATAGAAGCCCCTGGTCCGGGTGTCCTGGTATATAATTTATATCCTTTTTGACCTGTTGAAGGGTCCTCAGTCCACTTCTCAACCCAAGGCGCTGCACCTTCTGCCGCTGCGCCAGCGTCGATGGGCGGACGGAGCGGTTCCCGGGCGGCGCCGAGGGCGCCTCAGAGAGCAGCACCGGCAGGCCGCTGCCGTCGGGCCAGTTGCAGGTCGCCTGCGCCTGGTCGCCCGTGGCAGCAGGAAAGAAGCGAAGAAAAACCATTACACTCTGACTCACTAACATGGAAGTGGAAAACCGCCTGTTTGTAGAGGACAGTAGTCTTCCAGGGGCCCATTGTCCACTTCCATGTTAGTGAGTCAGAGGGTAACCCTATAGACGTCCATGTTGACGATGTTTGGCACCACCGACGCGAAGGACATTCCTTCTCGGATCGCCTGAAGAATCCTAGTCAGACCTTCTTTAAAAGTCGTCTTGGACTTCCAGGGTAAAAATATGTAAAAATTACACCACCGTAGACCCCAAACAGGTGGGACAACCACGAAGCATTCCCAAGTCCACATTTTGAGACATCAACAAGAAAGGAGACAAGAAGGGAGACAAAAGGAAACAGAAGGGAGACAAGACTCACACAATGGCGACAAGGCGGATGACCAACAAGAAGGGAGACAAGAAGGGAGACAAAGGTAACAGGACAAGGCGGACACAGTGACCAACAAGAAGGGAGACAAGACCGGAGAAAAAGGGAGACAGAAGGGAGAAGGCGGACACAGTGACCAACAAGAAGGGAGACAAAGGGAGACAAGCTGGACGGAAGGCGGACACGCTGTCCCGCAGCAAGGCCGACACTCTTAGAAAGCCTTGAGGACCCCTAACAGTATATAACCTGTTTGGGGAAGTGCAGAAACCACCTGGGAGACGAATGAGTAGAAATGCTGGAAAGGGGAAAAGGGCGGAGGCCAGCAGCGCAGGCACCGAACCTGGAAAAGAAAAGTAAACAAATCATTTGGGAGGCATATGAATAGAAACACTGCATGGCCAGCGGATTAGGGTGGACACTAGCAGGGCACACCGAACTTGGGAGACAAAAGTAAAGAAACCACTTTTGATGCAAATGAATTGAAACGCTGCATGGCCAGCGGAAAAGGGCGGACGCCAGCAGTGACAGAAAGGGCGGACACGTTTTAAGAAAGAATTGAGAACCCCTAAAAGTACACTGATTGGGGAATGAATAGGAATGTTGCGTCGCCAGCGGAAAAGGGCGGACACAAGCAGTGACAGACCTGGGACAAATGAGTAGAAATGCTACATGGCCAACGGAAAAGGGCGGACACCAGCAGCGACAGACCTGGGAGACAAATGAATTCAAATGTTGCATCGCCAGCGGAAAAGGGCGGACACCACCACGGACACCAGCAGTGACAGACCTGGGAGACAAATGAATAGAAATGCTACATAGCCAATGGAAAAGGGCGGACACCAGCAGCGACCTGGGACACAAATGAATAGAAATGCTGCATGGCCAGCGGAAAAGGGCGGACACC